TGGTGAGTGTCTGACCTGCTAGGTCTTTTTGCCTTTGGCTAAATTTCTTCACACTCTTCATAAAGCCTTTAGAGCTCTTCCGATTCTTTGACATACAGCCTCCAAGAGTGATATTGACCTGGAGGGAATATTTACAGGACAAACTTCCCCACACAGGGCTTCTCAACATGGCAGATTAGAAACCTGCAGGCTTCAAGCCCTACCCATCCTGCAATGGACTAATTCCATTGAAAGGTGGACAAAACAGGTGCCTCTTCAGGGAGTTTCCTGCATACCAAGATGTTGCTCATTTGCCTTTCGTTCTCCACAATAATGCATAAGTCATGAGACACTCAGTTGAAGCCTCACCTCCTTGAAGCAATCTATAAAGGTCTCTTTGGATCCTGAGGAGATGAGCTCCAGTGTTCAGACAGCAGACAAGCCAGCTTCATCCAGTGCCCTGTCTAGTAGGTGGGTGACTCCAAAGAGAAGATGAGTAGAGACCTGGTGCCAGTACCAAAGCTGGCACCACAAACATCATTGGAACTGAAGCTGATGCCAGCACTGAAGTCCAGCTCTGAGAGGCACAGAGGCAGATGCCAAACAGAGCTTTGTGTTTCCCATAAAGACAGGCCACCTAATGTCTCGGGGGAAAGCCACCAAGCATCCCATGGTGTCAAGGGCTGGTGATAAGAAGCAGAGTCTTCTCCAGCACTGATCTGACCTCTCTCATTGCAGCCTGTACCACTGGGGAAACCTGGGCTGTCATCAGTATCAAGACACCTGCTGAAACTGATGCCAACCCTGGTACTGAGAGTGCTGTATACCTCGGCACCACCCACAGAGGTGGTTTGTTCCTCTTCTCAGTCACCAGGACATATGTTCTTGCCATCTTCAAGCAAAGGATACTCTCTGAAATCGGTGGTCAGTATCACTGAAAAGTCAGCCAGCTCTTCCTCTGGACTCAGTCACCTATGCAGTAGGAATGGCATTGGACTGGCTTATAGCAAACAACCCAGCCATACTGCTACAGCATGTGCCGTGGCCCTGTTGGGCCTACTGGGATCTTGCCTCACAGGACTCTAGCAGCTGGTCTCCAGCAGATTTGAGGAAGAGGTCACTCTCCCTATCTGCTTCTCTGGCCAGATCGCCTGTGCCAGATGACCAGGAAGACCCAGATCCTGGGACAGAGTAACAGCAGCATCCTGTTTCACTATCAAAGGATGCCTTTGGCACTGATGACTTCATGTCCTTTCAAGACCTCCTTATAAGAATTGCTGAGACTCTAGGGATGGAGATTTCAGGCTTGGAGAAATGTCAAAGGTTTTTTACATTTGACAATCCCTAGCTCGACCAGATACATCCTCCCCATAAATGAGAGGCTGCTCAACCCAGACAAGGCCTTGTGGCAGACACAATTCTAACTGCAAAACAGGTAGAGAAATGGTGCTAGGTCCCTCAATCTGCATTTAATCTGGGTTGTCGTGGCAAAACTCGAACATTTTAAATCAAAGAAAAGTACTTCTAAGGATAAGGACCCAAAGGGGGTTGACTTGTTTGGGAGAAAATCTTACTGCTCTACCCCTTTACAACTCTGAGTGGCAAATTGCAAAGCCTTACTGGCCAAATATGACTTTTTTTTGACTTGGGACAGAGTGAAAACCGTTTCTCTCAACTCCTGCATGACAGGAAGGAGGAACTCTGGGATATAATCAAGAAAGGCCAGTTGGTGGCCAAGATGGCTTTGCAGGCAGCACTTGGAAACCTTTGACACTGCAGCAAGATTTATGGCCGCAGTGGTGACTGTTCAGAGCATCATGGCTCCAAGCATCAGGCATCCCTAGGGTGGTATAGGCCACAATCAAGGACCGGCCCTTTGAGAGCATGGAATTATTCAGCAAGCACACTGATGGTGCTCTGCGCTCTGTAAAAGATTCAAAGGCCACTATCATGCCCTCCTTGGGGATTTACTCTCTGACCCTCATGCCACAAGCCATATGTCCTCAACCCCAGTGCTGTCCTATGACTTCTGGCAAGCTGAGGACCGTACCACAAAAGTTGAGCTACAATAGGAGTCGCCAGCCTTCTTCCTCCTCTGCAGTGCATCCTGTCTTTCTGGCATGTCAACAAATCTGATAGGACTGTTTGGAGCCACAACAGATCCAGTTCCGAGGACACCACTTTCGGAAGCAGACTTGCCCAGTTGCCCCTTTCAATTCACATCCTATCTTGTTCTAGGATAACTTTCACGTGTAGCCAAGTAGAGCTGGCCAACAAACTGTTCTCCTGTCTTATGAAACCTGAGATTTTGAAAAATTTCCTGGTCTGCATCAGGTCAGAACTGAGACCTTTTAATGTTTTTCACAAAAAGAGAGAGACTAAGACTTGCTCTGGAACAGTCAATAGCCTAGTGGTTAGGGCACTCACATGGGATGTGAGAGACCCAGGTTCAGGTCCCCGTTCTGCCTGAGTCAGACACCGACTTAAATGTCATTTTCTCACATCCCAGGTGAGTGCCCTAACCACTAGGCTATTGGCTATTCTGGGACAAGGCTCTTTCTCTCTCTTGCCCTTTGATTTTTCCAAAAATTGCAAACCTTTCCCAACAAAAGTTTAGTAGAAACTGTTACATTCTCGCTTAAAGTTATGCTTTCAATAAATCAGCATTTTCCAACAAAAAAGTTTAATCCAAAAATTTCCAAACCAGCTCTGTAGACAAGCCCTTATCGTATTGGGGAGGCTCTGTGCCTTCTAATGACCTCTTGCTTAGACCAGGATGACAGAATGTGGAACCAAATATGTCTTTCCAAAGAGGGACTTGGGAAAGACAGGGAGTCCATTGTTTGGCATAGCAATTGGGTCAGATGGCACTGCAGACTAGGAATTGGAAATGTTGCTCTATCTTATGGGTCTGATGTTCATATGTACAGAATAGTTGGTTCCTTTATGGTACTTTCAGAAATGTAGTGCTCACTATCCCCATGCTAGGGCTTTGGTTTAGTACTTACTCAGCTGAAGTGTAAATACTGCTTACTTGTGGTGGTGGTGTTATGACATTGCTTTCTGTTGTTACTTATTAGAGTAGAAAAGTCTGCTGAGTATATTTAGTTAATCCAATCATATTTATCTTAAATTTTATAACAGAAATGTTCTTTGACATTTAAAAAGTATAACTGGTTTTTTCAAAGCCTTTTCTGTTTTTGCGGGGGTTGTGATACTATTCTGTCTGTACATGTTCATTTTGTTCAGATATCAAATAAGAGCCACTGCAAATGAATCTGACTTGCTCTGGTTTTACTCCTGTCAGAAGTGAACATCGTGGTTATGAAATGCACTGAAGAACCTCATATAGAACTATGAAATAGCAGATGATGGGACAGAAGTTGTAAATCATGTGAAGCTTAGTCATTTCTTCCACATCCTGCAGTACCAGATAGTATATTTTACGGTTATCACTCTGAGTGCTTTCATTTCTTTTACCTCCTGTATTACATATGTTAATAGCTTGGGTGTAGATGGATTAAAAGTTCCCAAATTAATGCCAAGCGTATTTCTGAATTCCCAGGTGATAACCTTGCCATAGTTAAGGTTGCAGCTAATTTTCTGTTGTATACCAGATTTTGCAACCTTTCTAAAATCTCCGAGAAAATGTATAGATGAAGTCAGGGGCCTGGATAGAGTTTGTGGGGAAGCTGTGAAATTATTTGAACAAAGACTTCCCACGAGGAGCATTATAAAAACCTGGTCTGTTTCAAAGTTGCAAAAGTCTTCTAATGCTTTTGCCCAGACATAGGGAAAAACAGGAACAGAAATGCATCCAATTTTTATCACTGGAATTGAGTTAGTGCATGTTACCAAAGAAAGTCCAGAACTTAAATGGGAAAAGTTATTAGGCCTTCACTTCAGAACTAGAGTTAGATAACACAGTGCTGGTGATGCATTTATAGCTCACAGGCACATTGCATAGACTAGATCTGGAAAGGAGCACTGAGATGGGAGTCAGGATACCATGGGGCAGATCCTCAGATGGTACAAATCAGCATAGCTCCATTGATTGAATTGTCTCTCTGATATTGCTGACCCATATCTCTTCCACTTAGTCACAGTGCCACGCAGAGAGAACATCTAAATCCCCTTTTGTCCTCTCTTTTCCAGGACAGGGAAAACCAGTAGAAAGTCCTTAACTGAGGGCTGCTAATGCTAAAAAAATTCTTTAGGGAGGCAAAGTGTAAGCTATCCTTAAACAGCTAATGAAAGGCCCTCGGTGAAGAAAACTTCACTTGAGGTTGGCACTCTTGCTAGCGATCACTCAGTTTCAGACTGGCTCCCTGGGGCCACTGCTCTCCACCAAGTCCGAGTGCTGCTCACATGGTGGTGAATCAGGGCTGAAGTTTTGTAGAAAGCAAATTTTCTATTTAAAGAAAACAGTCATTTTTGTTTTCATATGTTTTATCTAGTGTTCCTCAGACTAACTTTCCTATATTTTCTCATACTTTTAAAATGTTTTGTGGGGGTCTTTTTGCTCTAAGCCTTCTGTTCTCCAAGATATTTCCCCCTTGATTTTCCCTTTCTCCCCCATTGTATAATCTTCAGTGCTTTATTCTTCTTCTATCAAACTCTCCCCATTACCTGTTTCATGTCCATTTCTAAATCCCCTTTTGTCCTGCACTTTGGTCCTCATTCCAAATGGAAAAGAGAGAACTTGATCGTGTTTGCTTTCTAAATGTGGATGCTGAATGTTTTTTGGGAAGGCAGGTGGGGTGACACAGACTGAATTCTCAGGTAGGTGTTTAGATCACTTGTGGCTTTTTGTGCTTTTAAGAAAGAACCATTGGGTGAGGAAGGGATCGTTTTGATTTTTATATAGGATTGTTTTTGACATTTCTAAATTTCTTCAGGACATGATCAACTTTGAGAGAGTGATTTCTCTCTCTTTCTCAGAGCTACTTCTTAATTGTGATGTCTTCTCAGAAAAATATTTTTGTATTCTATAATTGCCATTGTTCTTTTGCATTTCCTAGCATCCTCCTGGGCAATTGAGAAGGAAATACAGTTCCTGCTCCACTATTTTCCTGGATGACAGCACAGTCAGTCAACCAAACCTCAAATATACAATTAAATGGTGGGTAGTGTTAAATTCTTTGACTTAAACATATATTTTATTATTTCTAAACAACTGCTAAGCAGGCACTGCAGAGACCAAGCTACAAAATAGTGGTTTTTATGTGTGTGCGCAGTCATATATGGATGTATTGCAGAGATAATGGGTGGGATTTTCTAAAGTTATTATTATTTTTTTAATAAAGATTTTTGATGCTCAACTTCTTCTAGGATCATGCCATAACTCTCCGCACTGCACATGTTCTCACAAGAATGGAGTGATCAAGGATTTCAGTTGTACTCGTGATGAGTGAACCAGCCTGTGATTGGCTAGTTTGCTTTGGATGAGCACTCAAAAATTAAGATAGGTATTTGCTTATCCAGTACTTGTGAAATCCTGTGAGAACATGCTCTTTTTTTAAGATTTCTAGAACTTCCTGCTGCTTTTGGGATTGGAAATATAGTACTTCAAGATTTGGCTTCTTCATTCAATGCAGGCAAGCACTGCACAGCAGTGAGCTGACAATGGGCAGCTTTGTGTAGGGAGTGCATCTCTGGCTCATCTTCATGTGGATTCTCAGCATAGCTAGGTTAGTTATCGTCATCACTAGAAAATTTTGACATTTAGATTGAGTGGAAATGCAGTTGGTGTTTGGAGTATTGTTATTTCCTCTACGCTCTGTACAGTGGAGGAAAAATGGGAGAGTAGATGGTCAAGCACCTTACATTGTTTAGGGAAAAAAAAAAAGTTGCTGTTTGAATCCTGCTCAGATTCCAGTCATCTGTAGTATCTTTATCTTTGTGTACACACATTTAATGTAAAGTGTGTTAAATCATGCAAAGGTATTTACATAACAGACCAGACATTCAGACTAATGTATAGCACTGCTAGTCACTAACGCATTTTGCATTTCTGTAAAAAGGCAGTTGCACACAAGTTTCACAATAATGTCTCCTGCGCTATTTCTGCCTGTAATATATTGCCTTATGCTTCCCTGTTTTTTTTTTAATTTTTATTAAAAAAATAACATTAAAAGAACCAGAGGACAAAGGGGCAGCATGTAGGCCACTTCCTGTTCCTAAACGTTACTGAGCTAGGTCCTCGGCCCTTCCTCGTTACTTTTTGTGCCACTTTAGTAGCGCCAAGGGATTTAGCGCTGCCTCCTGGCAGAACTTGAGGATGCCCCTAGTTTAGAGGAATCCTCAGATGGCATAGGACTGGCTCCCCAGTGAAGGGGAGGAGGTGTGTCAGGGACAGGCGGGGGCAGGGTCAGAGCAGGGTGCATTCTGGTAGTCTGGGCTGAAGGAGTGACTCCTTTAGAGCTATTCTCCACAGTGTAAATAAGAGTAGCCCTTATGCTGCTTTAACTTTTTATCAAGAGGCTGGATTGGCCCCTGGCAAAGTCCAGGATTGGATGGGTGGAAAGTTGATAGAAAGCTACTTATGGTCACAAGCCCCTCCTATCCCGAATGCACTGACTGCTGATCTGATCCGATAGGTTATTTAAAAACACACCACCATCCTAAATTAAAATATTGATGGATCTGACTTAATCCACCAAAGTTAAGAAATATAGATTCAGCCCTCAGACTACTTCATAGGTTTCCAAACAGTGGGTGTTTTTCTAGTCTGTGGGGTGATGTTTTGTTACGAAGCCACCCTTTAAGGGCAACAGGTCAGGCTGTGCTTTCAGATATCATATGCCTCTCTACTGAAGTCAAATGGAGTTACATTTATGTTCCTGAGGGCAGAATTTGGGCTGCATTTTTAGTCTTAACTCACAGCTGCCTGAATTTTTTCACATCAAATGATTAATTATCTTTCCTTTTTTTCCCCCTCCTGTGGTTGGGTGGACATGTGTTCAGTAAGCAAGGTGCACTGTCCAGGGATTATTTAGTACTTTTTAATATCTCCTTTTTAAAAAAAAGTTGCAATTTTAGATATAGTCAAGCAATTTAATCTAGGAATTTGTAATGCATCTGTCACCAATAGCTAAATTCTATATTGCCAAAGCAAAATACAGTTTGCAATATATGACATTCACCTTCATCTGAGCAAAAAAATTTGTATTTTCTACCATGTTCCTATTTTTCAGCTGTTTGTCACCTAGAATAATTTGACATTCCACTAAGAGAAACATACAGTATAGCTGCAACCTGGTGTCTTCGCAACATGTGGGACGTCTGACGCATCACAGTTGTCTTATAAATGTTCTGAAGGGAAATTGTGAAACAACCGATTAACTTTTTTAAATGGAGCCTGTCATAAATATAAAGGGAAGGGTAATAACCTTTATGTATGCAGTAATATAAAATCCCTCCTGGCCAGAGGTACAGAATCACTTACCTGTAAGGGGTTCATCAGTTCAATTAACCTAGTTGGCACCTGACCAGAAGAACCAATGGGGAAAGAAGATACTTTCAAATCCAGGGCGGGGGGGGGGGGAGGAGGTTTTGTTGGTGCTTTCTTTGTTGGTTCCCTCTCGGGACAGAGAGAGAGACCAAGCAGGTAAACCAGCTCCTAACAAGATCCTGAAATGATGCATCTAAAATTACAGAAATAGGAAGGAATAGCAAGGAAATGCGTTAGATTATCTTCTGTTTTAGCTTGTGAATTTTCCCTATGCTAAGAGGTAATTTGTAACTGGGAAGCAGAGTCTGAGAGGAATCCTCTGTGTTTTAAATCTTTTTATTTGCCCTGTAAAGTTATCTTCCATCCTGATTTTGCAGTTGTGATTCTTTTACTTTTTTTTTTTGTTAATAAAATTCTTTTACGAACCTGATTGATTTTCAGAGCCCTAAAAAACAGGGATTTGGTCTGTGCTCACTTTAACCTATTAGTTGGTATATTATTCTCAAGGCCCTCCAGGAAAGGGGGTGAAGGAGCTTGGGGGGATATTTTGGGGGGAATAGGGCTCCAAGTGGCTCCTGAATGTTTGTTTAAATCACTTGGTGGTGGTAGCAATACTGTCCAAGGACAAGGAAAGGAATTTGTGCCCTTGGGGAAGTTTTTAACCTAAGCTGGTGAAATATAAGCTTAGGGGGTCTTTCATGCGGGTCCCCACATCTGTACCCCAAAGTTCAGAGTGGGGAGGGAACCCTGACATGGTGGCAGCGCGGTGGGCTCATTTTGAACCAGAAGCACAGACCTTAGGATTTTAAAAGGACACTTTTTAGCTGAGAGCAGCTTGAGGTTTTTTACTCTGCCTGAGGGCAGAGTAGTTAAGTTCCTGCAAGAAAATTCACAAGCTAAAACAAAAGATAATCTAACGCATTTCCTTGCTATTACTTACAATTTCTGTAATTTTAGATGTATCATTTCAGGATCTTGTTAGGAGCTGGGTTACCTGTTTGGTCTCTCTTTTGGTCCTGAGAGGGAACCAACAAAAAAAGCACCAACAAAACCTTCCCTCCCTCTTGCCCCCTCCACGCCCCCCACCCCGATTTGAAAGCATCTTCTTTCCCCATTGGTCCTTCTGGACAGGTGCCAACTAGGTTAATTGAACTGATGGACCCCTTACAGGTAAGTGATTCTGTACCTCTGGCCAGGAGGGATTTTATGTTACTGCATACGTAAAGGTTGTTACCCTTCCCTTTATATTTATGACAGAGCCTTTTATATCAGACTCATTAAAAGAAAACACTAGACTAGCATGTAACAATGAATCATTGACAGAACAAATGGTCAATAAATGTGAACAATAAAGTCCCTCCTCCCTCTTTATTCCCCTGTTAGTTCTAGTGGCTCCTCAGGATGTTAGAACAAGTAGTTAGATTGGTGGTTCTGCTTTGTCTTTTGATGTTTACCTCCCCCAACTGTGCGGTGGTTCAGTCAGGAGCTGAAAATTGACAAATAATCTGAGGAAGCCATATTTTTCTTTTTCTCGGGAATGAACTAGATCAGTTTGTCATATTTACATACAACTAAAATTTTGAACTGTCTGTGAAGACTTTCATGTTTAATTTTTGAGTTTGACTTTTAAGTAAAGAGCAAATATAAATGCCTGACTGAGAGCAAGAAAAATGCATACTATAATATGTTAAAAATAAAATAAGTAACTTGTAAATTGATGCTTAATAATAATAATAATAATATTAAAAAAAGAGCTTGGTATTTCAGTAGCTAAATGGGGAGACAGCCAAAACGTAATGGATTTAAAAGTAAAAATCACACAAGCCACTACAGGAGAAGTAATTCATATTAGCTTAGCAGCATTAGCAAAACCACTGATCTACAAATGCAGTTGATAATAGGCTGAAGGTCCATGGAGGAGTTCAGCCAGGGGTCTTACAAAAACTCTTTTATTAATGACTGACCTCTGTTTTACATTCCAGAGAATATCCAATCCTTCTAAGGCCTTATCTTGCATCTTTGAAGTCAATGAGAGTTTTGTCATTGACTTAAATGGGATTAGGCCTTTAAATAGAAGTTACGGTATGGAGTACATGAGATGAGGGGGGAGAAGGAAGACAAAATTTTATGGAAATGTGACTGACTCGATATATGGAGTATGAATGTTCCATATGGCAATTTATCCACAATGAAAAGTGGACATTGTCTGCCGAGCAAAATACTCCTAAATCAGTTTCTACAGTGGTTTTTAGTATCTGGGCTTTGTGCTGTTTTAAATTTGTATAGGGGGTGTGTGTGTAAAATGTATTTATAATCTTAAATTCGGTTCCAAGGCATTAACTCTCTATTTTGCTTTACAGTGTAGCTCTTGCAATATATTACCACATCAAAAACAGGTATGTAAATAATGATTCTCCTATTTTAAAAAATGTTCAGTGTTTCTTTTTTAATTTTTTTCCCCTTAGCTTGTAGCTTCCCCCCACCCTGGATTAAAGAGAGTTCTCTATAGATTATATTGCTTTTGTGGGAATAAATTGACAGTTTTAAAAAAATAATATAATAATGCTGACTAAGTGCGGTTCAAATTCATTGTAGTATTAGAAAATTTGGACTTCTGTTTAACAGTTTTACTTACACTATAGTCACTTACTAATAAAAAAATTAGTACAAATTACAACACACATCTAAACTGTGTCCTGCTGTGGCTTCTGGTTTGCCCTTTTTTAAAGGTTGCTTTAGGAACCATTGGGTCAGTGAGTAGTTATGAATTATCAGTAGTGATGTGGCATGAAATAAAAACTCATATATTGTGCAATGGGAATGGCATTATACATAAGTTAGTAGCCTCAGGAGCAAAATTATTCACCAAAGTAAGTGTGCCAATACCAGGTAATGTTTGTTTGGTTTTAGCTTGGGTGTGGTGATTAAAAGGTGACGATTAGGAAGAGGGCGAGAGAGAGATCTAGAAATTAACTATTCACTTCATACTGTTAAAGAGTTTATTTTTGTAAATTGACTATTTTTTTAACAATTCTATTTTCTGAGGGCACCCTTTAAATAATCTTTCCTGAAATTGCTAGAAGGGGTTTTCAGCTTCCCTATTGAAGTTTGTTTTTAAACAGGTCTTTTCATCAGGGGAGGAAATGACTTAGGCTCCAATCCAACAAAACACTTAAAATGTGCTTACATTCAACCATGTGAATAATCTTGTTGACTTCAGTGAGCCTACTCACATGCTTAATGTTAAGGGTGTACCTAAGTGCCTGGGTGGGTCAGGGTCTTACTTAATGTGGCCCAATTTGCATTGGGATCCACAAGCATTGAAGCTGGTGGGACTCTGTTTGTACAGGTGCGAGGGTCTGCATTAGCAGGTACTTGTGCAGCCTCTACAGGAAAACACTTAAACTAACTTTTTATAAAAGTGCTGTAAAGGCCTGATCCAAAACCCATCAAAGGACTCCATAGACTGCAGTGGGCTTTGGATTGGGATGTAAAAGTGCAAAGTAAACAAACTGGAAAAAATAGATGGGGAGTGGAAATCTTAACTAACTTCTTTCAGTTTATAGTAATCTGACTCTGTTCAGAGTCCCACAGTCTTCAATGAGAGTGTAACTTGTAACTATAGTAGATAACAAGATAAGCATGGGTAAAAGTGTTTATGGGATTGGGGTCTGAGGATCATGTCATGAATGTGATACTTGTAACATTCACCCTTCTTGGTGAGGGTTAGGTGAATAAATGGGGATGGTTGTCTAGGATCACTTCTTTTAAAGTAACACAACCAGACTAAAATATTTTCTGCTCTTGTTTTGATTTTGTACCTAAAGGGTGTCCGTGTCAATAATCTGAGAGCTATGTGCACTGAATGTTTTCCTATTGGGAAGCTTGGCTGCTTCTTTCACTGTTCTAACTGAGAGGTGAATTTATCAAGAAAGAACTGCACTGTCTTCTGTAGATGTGCATTGATACACAACATGTTGTAAATGCGCCCTCTGCTGTACTGTTCAGAAACAGTTCTAGAAGTGAAGCTGTTGAAATCTCTATTACATTTTCTTAAAGAACAGACATGAAAGGACAGTCTATGACTCAAGATTAAAGGGACAATTTGAGGACAGCACTCCGTTGTTCATGCTACTGTAACAGTAATCATTTTTTAAAAGTTCAGTTTCCCAGCACCACAACCAAAAGTGAAGCAGCAGTGTATATAGGATTTATCAAAACTTGTCATGGTTGTTGGTTTACAAGCACAGTCCCGCTCCCATAGAAGTCAATATGAGTCTGACTGTAATGGGAATTGAATCCAGACCCCTGCTTTGTAAGGGAAGAAACTATTTAAGAAACATTTCATTCATTCTTTTTCTCTCCAGCACACCAGATTTACTCAAAACTAGATTACTTTCTAACTTCCCAAACTGTAATCAGGTGTTACAATAACATTTTCAAGAGAGACTATTGATAGATCAGACCAATTCTAGCTACATTTTTCCATAGTTAACCCAACTCTGACTGTACTGTTGTAATTGTCATCCCTTCTTCCCCCAATTCCTTTTCTTCATTGTTTGTTGTTCTCTGTTGCATCTTTCATTATATTTAGATTTTTAGCTCTATCAAGCAGGGACTGGGTCTGTTTTGTTTGTGAAGTGCCTAACATGCTTTTGGCCGCTACCAGTAGCGGCTGGAGCCCCAGGCCCTTTAAATGGCCACCAGAGCCCCGCTGCTGGAGCCCTGGGGTAGTGACAGCGGGGCTCCAGGGGTTATTTAAAGGGCCGGGGCTCCTGCTGCCTCTACTGCTCTGGGCCCTTTAAATAGCTGCCAGAGCCCCACCGCCGCTACCCCAGGGCTCCGGGGGCTATTTAAAGGGCCAGGGTGGTAGAAGCAGGGGAGTCCTGGGCCCTTTAAATAGCCCCAAGAGCCCCGGAGCAGCGACAGGGCTCCGCGGGCTATTTAAAGGGCCCGGAGCTCCCGCTGCCTCTACCGCCCCAGCCCTTTAAATAGCCCCCAGAGCCCTGCTGCCGGAACCCTGGGGTAGCAGCGGCTGGTGGGGGCTCCGGCAGCAGTTTAAAGGGCCCAGGGCTTGGCTGCCTG